ATCTTCCAGTGATCTTTTGTCCGTTCGCGTGAGGGTTACATCAGAGTTCCTTTTGGAGTCCCAGAATAATAAAAGGGTTACATCAGAGTTCCTTTTGGAGTCCCAGAATAATAAAGAAAACAACAGAACCAGACTAAACCCCGGGTGTCTTCCTCCCTTCACAGCCTACTCTCGAAAAACGAAAGGAGCCCAGATTTGGGCTCCTCTAGCAATGCTCAGAAAACCTGCAACCAAACCCCCCCCCCCAAAAAAAAAAAGCGGAGTTTTAAACTTTTTTTCTTGCCCAGGGTTCCCCGTGCAGGTGACCCCGGGCGACTTGCCCGGAGTGCACTGTTGGGAGAGCCAAGTAGCCTACTGTATATATAGATATAGATATAGATATGTAGATACATAGATATATATATGTACTTGTGCCCCCGCAGTACGAGATAGTCCCGTATCATACGGCCCTCTACTCTGCTTGCTTCGTAGTTCAGTTTTCGAGCGAGTGGAGTGGGTGAGAGGTAAGGAGAARGAAAAGCTCTTGCACCCATAGATAGGATCCAGGGCATTGACTTGAGTAGATCATCCCGCTCTGAAATGAAAGCAGCAGGTAAGTAAAAGCTCACCCCAATCGTAGTAAAAGGATACTTCACAGATCTGGCAAGGGATACTTCACACACACTCCGATTCGACAGGAAAAACGAACGAGAAGAGTTCGCCGGAAGTCGAAAGCGAGCGAGATGGAGAAAACATTGATGAAACAAGAGACAAAGATCAAAACAGAAAGGAAACGAGATGAAAAAAAACATCAGCATGAGCGAGCAGCCTCAACCAACGCCACAAAAYCGAGCGCAGGAGAAGGAGCGGACTACCCAAAGGGAAATGATTTTTCTTTCCACTGCGGGGCTGAAGGCGGGRGGATAGATCGTCAGTAAGTGAGCGAATTCACTGATGAAACTCAGACACGAAACTCTTGGATGGGCAAGGCAAGATGGACAGAAGACCGAGAGTACTGCACGCTCAGACCAAGAGATGGTCCACAAAAAAAGGGAGAGGGAAAGTTCAAAACGAAAAGAAAGATACGTTSGTTCTGTCTTCAGTGACAAAAAACAACACCGCCAGATCCAAAGAGTATATAAAGCACATAGGTTACGGGAAGAAGTGACGACGYGAAAGAAAGCTCAGTGRCTTTATCCACATCTCTTYTTTTCTTTTCTTTTTTWTTGGGSCAATATTCCAATCTATTCGTGGGGAGCCGCASGTGCTGGGATCTCATTCCTCGAATTTCATAACAGTCACATTATGCTACACCAMTAAGTCATGGGCGAATCCTATACTTTTACGCAAGGTCGAGATTCGTCTAACTACGTCCGCAGCTCCAAGAAGACCGTCGTAAACCGASTGGTAAGCATCAAGTCACGACCGCACACACGGCGAGAACGAGGGATACACAGAAAGAGAGATGTTCCGCCTTAGCGAGGGTGCGCACGGACGCGCGGGCGCGCGCGCACACACACACACACACATACACAGAGAGAGAGAGAGAGAGAGAGAGAGAGAGAGAGAGAGAGAGAGAGAGATGCCTTGGATAGTCCGTCTGGGATCTAGTGACTCCCGCATCGGCGATTAAGTCCTTCAAGTCAGCAGAAATTAGAGTACTCGACTGCCTTCACCAGCTACGACTACTAGTAACCGATCTATACAAAGTTACGAGTACAAGTCGAGCGTTTTGCATAGATACAGAAGCTACACCGACACTCGCACCCCAGGACATGCACAGGAAGATTTCGCTACGAAAGTGCTCCGTTAGCATGTAGCCTAGTTTCGTCGGTTGCTTCGTGCCGAGCCGACAAGGTGGCAGTGGCCTGGGCTTTAGCAGGACTCCCAGGCGATGGCGAAGACTTCCGTGARCCGAAGATCCTGAGAGTCGATGGTCACGAGGCCGCTTTTCGGTGGCTTCGCAGGACTCACTCGCACTTCGGAGACGAGCTGGAGGTTCCTGACGCTGTTGCACTCGCTGTAGACGGCTGCAGCGAAACTGTCCGTGAACTCRAAGTTGTCATCGAACKCGCCGGYGATGACGCGCTTAGCTCGTGCCGTCMSTCTTACCCCGGAGATRTAGTAACTGGTCTGAATGGTGCCSGTCAYGCCAGCGTCCAGCTTGGCGTACCCGCGCATCGTGACGCCCACCAGGTGGAAGCGGAAACCTTGCGGATAACTCAGCACGGCCGTCACCGTGCACGCTTTCCTCAGACCGGAAGTGCCAGCGTCTGTCGAGGCAGTGTACTTGCTGAACATGACGGTGAGCGCTTGCCCGTCATCGGACACTGCGCCCTCGGTGGAACCAGGTGGGCAGCCATCGCCGTTGTAACTGAAACCCTCGATCTTGACCGTACCAGGAGCCGGGGACGCAGCATGTCCGTGGATGGCGRACTGCATTAAGGCCAGTAGCAGCAGCGCCGCCAWAGCCRCCATGGACGAGACGGATCGGGACACTCTTCCCGCCATCGGGATCAGCTTTCACGTCCTCCTCCTTCTTCACTACGTAAAGAGCAAGGTGRTCGGGAATAAACCAACAGTGCCTCTCTTCCCCGCCTCTACCGTCTTTCCCACCTTTAGCTCTTTCGACCGACGTGCCCTCCCTCTAGCGCTTCTCCGMGGCAGACGTGAAGTCCTCGATTCGAAGTTCGACAGCCGCCTCGACAACTTCCTCCACATCAACTGATCGCTCCTGCACTGCCTCCGCTGCGGGATGACGTGCAAATGTAGACGTGCTCTCTCTCCTCCCTTCCCCGCCAAGGTGCCSAAGCAATGGAACCCTTCCGATGCGTCCTATCTCAGCTACTCGAGCGTGTCGGGAAAAAGAGGCTGCGCCCGCAATTTATCATATCAATCACTTCGGCCCGGCAGTGCGTACCTTGATCAAACACCCTTCGACCGTTGAGATACGGACCCACGTTCGAACGACAAAAAGAAAAAAAAAACGCGAGCGGCACTGGAGGGCAAGAGGTCAACAGAGGCCTACTGCACTACCTGATGGGCAAAGCTGTATTGGGGGATCTTACCAACCAAGTAACTCGAAAAGGGCAAAATTTGGTGTGGCCAGCCCCAAATTGTGCCCATTTCGGGTTTCCGCTGTTTCCATCGTCACGGTCTCATTAGCTGACGACCCGCCAAACGTAGCAATCCGCTACCGTCGTATGGAAAAAAAAACGTAAGTAACAGAGCCTCGGTAGGCCACTTGTCGCCCTCTCGTCTCCCGGCCAGTTTCAGAACGTCTGTCCAGCCCGGCTGGCGGATGGCTCGGCACACTACCTGTCGAAAGTGCAATTGAAATGGACATTTTTTATTTTTTGAACGAAATTGAAACCGARTATGTTTTACAAATGCCGGACCCTCAGGAACACCAAATTTTGACGAGTTTTCGGCCAAAAAACTCGGTTTCAATTTTGTTCAAAAAATAAAAGATGTCCATTTTGACGAAATGGTAGTTTATAGGTCCCAGCCTGCAAAGTCTTTACTTGGAGGGTGGTCGAAGGAGGCTGATGTTGTACAGCCAAATAGTACGGAGCACCTGAAGTCTGGGCCGACAAATTGCTGTCTTGTAGTGTTGCAACTTGCAAGGGTGTTTTCTAGTGAACTCAGGAAATGGAGACTTGTATAGCAGATAGTACTGCTGTAAGTGGAGTGGCGCCAGGTTTTAAAATTGCCGTATTGTAGTGCTGTAAGGGTGTTTTCTAGTGAACTCAGGAAATGGAGACTGGTATACCAGATAGTAGTGCTGTAAGTGGAGTGGCGCCAGGTTTTATACGTTAATCTTMTCTCTGAYAGCTATACGGCCGCTCTAGGAAGTTGTGTACAGCAGATAGTAGTGGAGCGAGACCCTTAGTGATGCTTTCGAGGTTTTCTCAACGTGGGCACAATGAGGCAGTAAGATGTTCRCATCGGGCGGGAGGAACTCCTGTATAAAGGRCATCTCAGCCCACCGTACTTAGGGTTAGTAAAAGTAAAAAAGAAACGAAMARRARGGGCCACAGCAACGTCCCGTTRCTGGAGGAGATATTGRGCCTCRCTCCACTACTGTCCACTGTACAAAAATGGACAGTGGGACATCACTCCACTTACTGTCCATCATCGGTGTGCAAAATGGCTTGGACTTTTGTCAGAAATACTGTGGAAAATTGACTGTSCAGTTTTGTATAGCTTCGAGCTTGTACAAGTACTCTCGTGGGAGGTCCTCGTAGGAACCTACGTACCCTCCCTTCGCCTTTTTGGGCAGCGAGCTTGGAGTCTGGTGTAACGGTACCCTCCGACCCGGCAGTGAGGCCGGACCTGTTTCACGGGTCACAAAGATCAGATGGCTTGGTGGCAACAATGCCTTAGAGTCGTACATCACAACATTCCRCCGCGTTCACACCGAAATTCCCCTCTCCCTCATAGCCGACGACTCTATGGTCCAGCGTTTCAGTGGCGGGTTACCCCAACCCTTCCAGCTTCAGATGCTGGCAATATGTGTGGCATACACAGTCCACACCCTCCCTGAGGCCTTCAACATTGTCAAGGCCATCCAGGTCACCTACGCACCTCTTGTGGGCTCCACATATGAGCCTGGTGCYGCACCTCTCGCTGCCACGTCTGCCCCTTGCACATCTCGCCCTCGATAGTTCTCCACGTCTCGCCGTGGCCCCCGTCGAGTTCCTGGACGCACCTTCTTCTGCCGTGTCCAAACCATGCTCCTCGAGTCGTCGAGCGCTGAGGAGGGAACTGGTTCGGATGGATCCCATAGTGACCCGGACCAGGGACATGACCCCCAGTCTCCARTGGATGGTGACGATCCCGACCAGGACGAGCACCTCGCCCGCGCCTTCTCTGCTTTCCTTAGGCAGTGCCAGTCCTCATCGAGGACCCGCTCATCGGCCACACAGCAGCCCCTGCGTCTTTCCCCGGGCTCGATTGTCTATCGCGGAGAGTGAGGCTTCTGTGCACGAGGTATATGTACCCGTTGTTGCCAGCTGGTCACACTCTGTCCACCTGCCCCTACGCTGACGGCTTCCAGCGTCACTTTGCTCAGGAGTCCCACCCTCAGCCTGAACCCCCGTTTTGATCTCTTGTGCCGCAGCCATCTAGCGGCGATCTCCCGTCCCCCTGATCCTCCTACAGTCGCAGGCATACCCGCTCGCGATTCTACCTTTGTGCCACTTGCTACGCTTTCTAAGGACTCGAGTGCTTTAAGGTCCACCACGAACGTCTCCGCCTCGGAAAGAGCATACCCTTTCTGCGATGTCTCAGTGCCWAATCCYGATCGCACCTTACCGATTACTCCAGTGYGCCTCGGGACCTCTAGTAGAGTGTATAGCGCACTGTTAAGGAGGCATTTCTCTATGCATCCCCCTACCCTTCCACTGTCACTGTCATGCTTRGCGACAATCARGCCAAATCCTTCGTCGATTGTGTGGTGCCTGATCTCCCATTCTCCTTCCCCTTGCGGATGCCACATTGCCTTCGCAAGGCCCCTCGGTTCWATGACCATGGGACTTTCGACGTCGTGRAAACCCTATACGACCTTGTTCTCGCCACTTCCTACTCCAATCAGTTCRCCCATTCTGGTCCTGATTGGATCCACAACGACCTCATACTCGATGYCAAGGATGGGAAGCAATATCGTATTCCGTTGTTGGGCAAATCAGACTTTACATCCCCCTCTCCTGTCAATGTTGTCATCTTKACACCTACTTAGTTCCACCATATTCTTCGTCAGCCTGATGTCGAACTCTACATTTTCGACATCAGGGATYTCCTTGTCTGGAACTCCATGCATCAGGACTCCTTMAACCTCTGCTTCARACTTTGCTACCGCCGAGGAGTTTGACAACCTCCTATCTTCTTTGCAACCTAGCGTTGCGGCCCTCCTTCGCRAGTATCGCGATGTTTTCCCTTCACCCGTCTCTTATGGCAACATCCCTCCTATGCGCGATATCGAGCACAACATCCGGCTCGAACCTAACTATTGTATTCAGCATCGCGCCCCATATCSCCTCTGCGGTCCCTGAAGCCCAASAACTTAAACGTCRAATTGATGAGCTGCTTCATCAGGGGTTTATTAAACCTRAGTACGTCCCCATGGAKTGCACCTGTCCTCTTCGATCGCAAGAAGGACGRCACCCTCCGGCTCTGCCTCGACTACTGAGGTCTCAATGAATATACAGTCAGAAACAATTATYGTATGCCCCGCGYAGATGATCCGTACGACCGTCTCTCCAGCCACCACTTTTTCAYAAAGATCGATCTTCGTAGTGGATATCACCAGATCCGTGTAGCTGAGGAGGACCAACCTAAGACCGCTTTYYGTTCTYATTTTGGRCACTACGAGTTTACCGTAATGCCTTTCGGTTTTCATAATGCTCCTGTCACCTTTCAGATGGCTATGAGYACGATGTTCCAAGACCTTTTTGAGGACTCGGTTCTGGTCTCTATATTGAYGACATCCTGGTCTACAGTCSTACCTTAGAGGAACATTTGTTGCACCTTCGCATTGTCCTCMACGATGTTCCAAGACCTTTTTGAGGACTCGGTTATATGMGAAGCTCTCCAAATGTTGCTTCGCTCAACCCAAAGTCGACTTCCTGGGGCATCAGGTCTCCGAGCACAGACTCCACATAGACGAGTCGAAGATTCAGACCATTGTCGACTGACCCATTCCTACCTCTCTTTCTGCGATACGTAGTTTTCTTGGGTTGACCAATTCCTACCTCTCTTTCTGCATCAGGTCATTTTCTTAAAAACTACGTGGTGTATATTGCCCTACTTACCCCTCGGACCCGTGGACGTTTACCCTTTCGTTGGACCCCGGCTTATGAGGATGCCTTCTGCTCTCTTAAGCGGCTTGTCATGTTAATCACCGTTCTACACCTCTTTGACTACTCTCCTCCATTCATTGTCACTACGGAYGCTTCGGACTTTGCTATTGRAGAYGTCCTATYTCAGATCTACTTAGASCCTTTAACTTCACCCGATTCCATGGAGTATCGACTCCCGCGCATCCCTCGATTCCCTCCTCCACTTYCAGCGACTGCGGCTCACCTCGCACCCATTGAGCCTACTCCTTCAGGAACCCCCCTGCCATATATTCCTGACGTCGCTGATGRCGGTACAGTCGAGTMTCRCGATGGAGAGTGTCTGATTGCTTATCACTCTCYACAACTACGTCCTGCAGAGCGTAACTATACTGTTGACGAGCGTGAGGTTCTCACGCTGGTTTACGCTGTTAAGAAGTGGCGTCATAATGTCATCATCTACACGGTCATACCTTCACCCTGCTCACGGACAAGTCTGTCCTCGCTGCCTTTCAGACGAAGCCTAAACTCACTTCTCRTCAGGCTCGTTGGTGGCGTGATCTTTCCGAGTTYGACTTCACRATYAGGAAGATCTCCAGTGAGAGCAAGCGTGTCGCAGATRCCCTATCCCGTCGCCTTGACCTCAAGTGCAATGATCGGCAACTCTCTGCTCTTTCTGTCTCTACTCCCACTATCCATCMTRCTTTCTTAGATRASTATCGTCGTGCTTACCCCTAATGTTTTGAGTTTCAGTCCATCCACGTTGACTTACAGGCTGACAAGATTGTCCCTAACTTCCAGCTCGACCCKTGTRGACTCTTGTGCWGGCTTRGACTCAATCATMCTCGTATTCCTCGTTTATGTGTGCCTTCTACCGACCAACTGTGTGTTCARGAAGKTGYTGAGAGTTATGATCAACGTACCGCCAGTCATTTYGGTGTCTACAAGACTCTTGACCGTCTCTACAGCCATTACTACTATTRGAGGCACCGTCGCA